AGAACAGCTCTGACTGGGGTCAACTGATATCCAGACAATATAAGGGATATTGTGGAGATCAGAAATGGGCTGCATTATACGGGCAGCCGAACGATTTAAAAATTGCCTGAAATGTGGACCGCGGCTCGACTAAAATGCGGTCACCGAAACAAACACCCTATCGCAATAGATAATAAGCTAATTAGGCTTTGCTTGCTTGGCAAGTGTTTACTTAGTTGGTAGGTGTTTCGACGCCTGCAGGATCATATATTGTCTGAAAATTTTATCCGCCAATTGAGGGTATTGTACAGATGCCGTAGCTACTTCACTCCTGAACAGTTGATTCAAGTACATAAGGGATTCATTCGTCCTAATTTGGAGTATTGCTCTCATATCTGGGGTGGCTCTACTTCTGTCCAACCGTTAGATAGGGTGGAATCAAAGGCATTTCGTCTTATTAACACTCCTCCTTTAGTTGACAATCTTTCTCTTCGCCGCAATGTTGCTTCACTCTCTCTCTGTTACAGGTACTCTAACGGGCAATGTTCGGTGGATTTGGCATCCTGTGTACCGCCGGCAAGGCCGTGGGCTCGTGACACTCGTCTTGTCAGTGGTGCCCACCATTTCTCTGTGGATGTCGGTCACACTAGAATAACCCGTTATAGTACACCCTTCTTTCCTCATACAGCCAAACTGTGGAATTCTCTGCCTTCTTCTGTTTCCATACTCATACAATCTGTCTCACTTCAAAAAGCTGGTTTTCCGGCATCTTGGTATTAGATTAATATAACGTTTTTCTTTTCTATTTTTAATTTCTTTTTACTCTTATTTTTCGCCCTCTAGGCCCCGTTGTAGGTCGATGACCTGTGCCCGGGTGAGCTATTCCCCGTAAAAAAAAAATACATCTTAAAATGCAGGATACTATTAGGGAGTCAAGCGCACTTAGTTTCCTCCTAAATGTATAAAACCCTTCAAATAAGCTGTTTTGTGATAAAATTTAAGACCTTGTTTAGTCTTAGCATTTGAACATCTCATTTTATGACATCAGGGGTTATTTGTCTCCCTTCCATATGACATAATCAATCTTCTTTGGGGGCGCAAGAACACTTTGTTTATATGTCTGTGTTCCCTTATTTCTGGTATGTTTACATGGATTAACCTTGGTATTACTACCCCCTTAAATTACATTATAATGGACGAATATCTTGGGAAGTGACATGCGTGATAATGCTAATGTCTTATCCAGGGGAGAGTTAGGACACTCTATTTGAGATTACTGGTGTAGATTATACAGGAGCTTTGACATTGCTGGCGATCCAAGGCCTCCCAAGAAAGTCTCCTTATTTTTATTCACTTGTGCCTCTACCAGAGCTGTTCACCTAGAAATACAGGAGAATTTTATCTTAAAAAATATTTGACTACTTTTCCATAGATTTGCGGTCTGAAGGTCCTGTACTAGACGCATCGTTAACGATAATGGTACTAGTTTTGTAGGTACTGCACCTTTGCTGTATCCCAGCATAGCATCACCCTAATATACTCCTACATTGGTATAATACCACACTGGTTTAATTTCACCATGTAAAAGTGTAACAACAGTTTGCAAGTCTCTTTAAGTTGTTATATTAAAATAGATATACTCGAGAAACGTCCCAGATCTTCGAGCTGCTCAAAACCCCATGTAAACAACTGTGGTCTTGATGGGTTAGGGTAGCCTGCCCACACACGAGTCCCAGAGATCGATATCCTGGTTTTGCACCACCCTGGTATAGCCTTACCATGGTATACCCTTACCAAGGTATACCCCTTCCATGGTATACCCCTTCCATGATATACCCTTACCAAGGTATACCCCTTCCATGGTATACCCCTTCCATGATATACCCTTACCATGGTACACCCCTACCATGGTATACCCTTACCAAGGTGTACCCCTTCCATGGTGTACCCCTACCATGATATACCCTTACCATGGTATACCCCAACCATGGTATACCCCTACCGTGGTATAGTCTTAACCTGGTATACCCCTACCATGATATACCCTTACCATGGTATACCCCTACCATGGTATACCCCTACCGTGGTATAGCCTTAACCTGGTATAATACTTCTACCCTGGTATAGCACCATTGTAGTATACTTCTACCTTTGTATATTACTATCCTGGCATTTCAACACCCTGGTATATTTCTACCCAGGTATACTACAACTACTGTGGTATAGCACTATCGTAGTGTTCTTCTACCCTCGCATACTACCACTGTGGTATAGCACTATCGTAGTGTTCTTCTACCCTCGCATACTACCACTGTGGTATAGCACTATCGTAGTGTTCTTCTACCCTCGCATACTACCACTGTGGTATAGCACTATCGTAGTGTTCTTCTACCCTCGCATACTACCACTGTGGTATAGCACTATCGTAGTGTTCTTCTACCCTCGTATACTACCACTCTGGTATAGCACTATCGTGGTATACTTCTACCCTGATATAACACTACCATAGTCCAACAACCATACAGTTTGTAGAAGAACCACATTCACACATACAGTTGTGGTCCAAAATATTCTCCGAGGAAACAAATATAATAAAAAAAAAAAAACTTTAGGCATTTTCCGATGTTTTGGCCTGAGTTGCCAATACCATCTACGCTTTTTACTCTGAACGCCAGAATATTCAGAGGAAAAACGAAACTAAAATTCAGAACCTTATTTCTTGCGACGAAAGAAAATTATACTGCGTTTCCAATATCTCCTTTGTTGAAAACATTGCATTCTCTTGAGTCTCTTAAAACAGTATTAACACAATTTTGTTGCCCGAGATTTTTATGACGATTCAGATATTACCCTCCCTCCCTTCCCCTTCGTCCCACCTCTCCCCCTCCCTTCCTCTCCCCTCCCCTCCCTTCTCCTCCCCTCCTTCTCTTCCCCTCTCTCCTTCCCCTCCCTCCTTTCCCTTCCCTTCCATTCCCCTCCCTTCTCTTCCCTCCCTCACGTCCCTCCCCCGTCCCTTCCCCTCCCTCCCATACATTCCCGTCCCCACCCCTCTTCCTTTTCCCTTCACCTGCACTTCCCCTTCCTATCCCTACCCTTCCCCTTCCTCCCTTCTCTTCCCTCCCCCTCCTTCCCTTCTCTTCTTTCCCTTCCCTTCCATTCCCCTGTAACAGCACCTTTGCTTTATATAAATATTCACCCAAATGAATAACACCAACTTATTCACCAAGTTATTCAACAATGACTCAGTTGTTAACGAGTATTCACCGCTGAGCTTGTAACGAGCTCAGAGGTCGAGCACAGGTCAGCTGATTAGTCAAACAGCCGGCTCACTACCTCCTGTCTCTCTCCTGCTCAGAGGGGACAGAACCATATCACTTGATCAAGAGAGAGCACGCCACTCAAGTGTTCTCTCAAAGTGTATTCATAACACTTCCCTGGAGAGAATTCATAACTTATTCTCTCACACTGTTGCTGTGTATATATTTGCTTTGCCAATAAAGAAAAACAGCCAGAAGTGTTTACATCAAGCCCTGCCACTTAAAGAGTTCCACGACTTATTTAAAACAATTAATGTGATACCAAAACAACTATCACACCCCTTCCTTCATTCCCTTCCCTTCCAATCCATTCCCTACCCCTCCCTCCCTTCCCTTCTTTCCTTTCCCCTCCTTCCCTTCCCCTTCCTCCTCTCCCTTCCCTTCCCACCCCCTCTCCTTCCCTTCCTATCCCTTCCCTCCCCCTCCCATCCCCTTCCCTCTCTTCTTCCCCCTAAGGGGAAGAGAAGAGAATGGAGGGGAAGGGAGGGTCGGGGAAGGGAGGAAGGGGATAGCGCAAGGAAGAGGTAAAGGATGGAGGGAAAAGAAGTGCAGGGAGAGAATGGAAGGGAATAGGGAGAGGGGGAGGGAGGGAAGGGATGGGAGAGAGGGAGAAAGGAGAAGTGAAGGTAGGGGGAAGGGATTGAGGGAAAGGGAAATGAAGGGAGAGAATGGAAGGGAGGGGAGGAAGGGAGGGAGGGAAAGGGAAGGGAAGTGAAGGAAGAGAGGGGAAAGGAGGGAGGTGGAGGAGGAGGTGGAGGTGGAAGGAAGGGAAGGTAAAGGGGAGAGGGAGGAAGGGTGGGAGGGGGTTTGAAGTGAAGGGAAAGAATGGAAGGGAGGGAGGGGGAAGGTAGGAAGGGAGATAGGGAGGGGGAAAGGAAAGAGTGAGGGAGAGGAAGCGGGGGTAAGGAAGAGAGGAGGGAGGGGAAGGGAGGGAGGGAGGGTATTAGATCAAATGTATTTTTTACGTCAAAGGATATTTTTGGGGAAAGTGAAAACTAACATTGTGTGAGTATGGAAACACAGAAGAAGACAGAGCATCCCACAGTTTGTCTGTGTGAGGAGAGAAGGGTGTACAGTCTCACCCTAAAGTTCGTTTACTCTCCCAGCCAGCTATTGCTGCACCGCCTGCTTCAGATGTATGAACCTGAGTCTGTTTCTTTGAACCTTTGGATTCATTCGTATCGGTATCATGTTCTGGTTGGTACTGAGATAGTTTCAAGCATCTGAAACAGGCAGTGCAGCAATAGCTGGCTGGGAGAGTTAACGAACTTTAGGGTGAGACTGTACAAGAACGGGTTATTCTAGTGTTGATGAGGAAGAACAAGTGCTGACAGGGAAGAACAGGTGTGTATTGGGAAGAACAAGTGTTGATGAGGAAGAACAAGTGCTGACAGGGAAGAACAGGTGTGTATTGGGAAGAACAAGTGTTGATGAGGAAGAACAAGTGCTGACAGGGAAGAACAGGTGTGTATTGGGAAGAACAAGTGTTGATGAGGAAGAACAAGTGCTGACAGGGAAGAACAGGTGTGTATTGGGAAGAACAAGTGTTGATGAGGAAGAACAAGCGGTGATAATGGCGGCGACTTCTTTGTTGTGGATGGGTGGGGGTAAGAGTCGGTGGTCGGGTGACGTCAATAAGACACTTGATAGGTGAAGAAGGCGGGTGATGACGGGGATAGGTGGCGCCAAACCCACTCCTGGAGGTCGACATTTTGGCGGGTGATGACGTCAAGGGCGGAACAAAGACTGACAGGTGTAGCTGATCGCTCTATAAAGGGGTGGCCGGCAGCCCTACACATACACAAGGCAAGAAGTATTCAAGTGTTCACCGTCTCAGCTACAACATTACGAAGTTCATCGACGTCTTATAAATAACTAAACACTTATTCGGCCAATTACTCGTTCCTTCTATCTTCGGCGACATTCCAGCCTAGAGGACCCGACAAGTAGCATTGCAGGTGAGCCATTAAATTATTCATCACACATAGTAAAACAATGAAGGAAAAAACGTGTCACAAACTATTGTTTACCAACATTTAGGACTTTACATTATAATTGATAATGGTTAGAAATATTAAGAATCCACTGTATCTCCTAATATCAAATGCACATGGCCTCAAAATGTCCATGACATTCGTCAGATTTAAAAGAAAAAAAATTGGGGGGCTAACAGCGCCCCCCAACCCTCCCAAAAAACAGCTGGGTAGGCTCCCTGTGCTCGGCATGGTTCACCACCCGTTTTTTTTGTTTTTTTCATATTCCGAATCCGCCTGTCCTGGATTGAGAATTTCAATGGCCCCCATGTTTTAATGTTTCCAAACTCCAATGCATTAATGAAATTCAGTTAATAAATGTAATACATCAAATCTTTATATTTATATCAGCAGACAACTAAATAAACCAAACAATACAAATCAACTGTTCATTTTCTGTCTTCGAGACATCAGAACATTCAAGGGTGTAATTGCTCGACCACCATCACTGACAAATGACTATCTTTCCTGCAACATACCTGACCATTTTTTGTTTCTAATTATTTCTACTATTGGGTCACTGGCGAGTGATGTTTGGGTTCTATCTGAGCCTGGGGCCAATCTGACCATGCCGATGTAATGCCTTTGTTGAGGCAGTTCACTGTTAATATTAGATCGTTTACTTTATCCTCTTCGCTGGTCGTCTCTCTGTTTCACGCTGTTGGCAAATAGTGGGCTGAAAATCAAACTGGAAGGATACGGAATTCGGGGAAATGTCCAAGCGTGGATAGAAGACTCTCTACATGACCGCAAGCAGTATGTGGTGATTAATGGCACGAAATCGTCATCTGTACCTGTCACAAATGGGGTACCACAGGGCAGTGTATTGGGCCCGCTGTTGTTTGTTTGTTTCATAAATGACAAGCCTGACGTTGTACACTCCTCCATACAAATGTTTGCCGATGACGCCAAGTTATTTCGGGAAATTAAGAACCAAGAGGACTGTGAAGAACTGCAGAAGAACCTCTGTGGGCTCCAGGAATGGTCAAAGAAATGGCTGCTGAGATTCAATGTCATAAAGTGTAAGAGGATGCACCTGGAGCGTACCAACGGTAAGGAGGCGTATCATATGTCCCAACGGGATGAAGAAACTGCACTAGTTGAGACTGTGTGTGAGAAGGACCTAGGTGTGTATGTTGACAATGAGCTGAAGTTCTCGGGCCATTGCGAGAAGAAGGTAAATCAGGCAAATAAATTATTGGGTCTTATAAGAAGGTCGTTCAGATATCTAGACGGTCCGTCCCTCGTAACGATCTTCAGGAGTGAAGTGCTTCCCCATCTGGAGTACTGTCACCCCATCTGGTCCCCGAGATATGCTAGGGACTGTCAGTTGGTTGAAAATGTTCAAAGGAGGGCCACCAGACTGGTGCCTGCACTTCGGTACCTCAGCTACCCTGAGAGATTGGAGCGCCTGAACTTGCCTAGCTTATACTACAGACGGGCAAGGGGGGACCTAGTTGAGGTGTACAGGGTGTATAAGCATCTCAGGGGGCACTACTCAGTTGAGTGTCCTTACTTGGAGCTGGCAGACGCTCGCCCCACAAGGGGTCACAGCTCAAGATTGAAGAAGCCGCAAGTCCAGAAAACCGTGAGGGCAAACTTTTTCGGAGTGAGGGTTGTAAACTCTTGGAAAAATCTACTAGAGTGTTGTGACGGCACCGAGTGTGAGCTCTTTTAAGATAAGACTTGACCAACACTGGAGCGGGTTCAGGTACATTCAGGAGCCGGTACATGCCCAGTATTTGCCAACAGTGTGTGTGACAGAGACGTGACCGATCGCCCGGGCGGCTAGCGAGCCGATCTTTTGGTGAAGAAGATAAATGAAAAGGAAAAGTAATCAAAGTAATCAGAGACATGACCGATCGCCCAAGCGGCTAACAAGCCGATGAGTGGCGAAGAGGATAAAAGTAAAAAGTAAAAGTATGTCCTGAAATACGTTCCTTTCAAAGGCTCCAAGAAGAGTGACATCTTTCTTCAGTAAAGAAAATTTATCATCTGTGATAGCAATTACAGATCGAACCATTTTAACTTGACAGTTCCACGTGTGATATTTGTAGCTTGAACCCTGTTTTCACCTTCTAATAGTTCAGTGGCTACATTAGATCTGCATACATGGGATACAATCTTTGCTGTTTTATCAAGTATCCTGTTCAACTGGGTGGCATTTTATAATCCATCCTTTACAACCAGTTGTAACGTATGTGCAAAGCAATGAATATGTTGAGCAGGGAGACCTGAATAATCCTCAGTCACTTCTGTTGACTTGAATGGCATCTAAATACTCAGTCAGTATCATCACTCTCGCTTGAATTAGAAAAGAACATAATATTTCCAATTGGTAGAATTCGTTTCCAATCACGAGGTTGGGATTCACAAACTCGTGAGTAAACCTGAAAATGTAAAAAGGTAAATTATAATAACAGAAGAGGTTCAAAAGATTCCAGCAGAACACAAACTAATTAGCCTGATTCACTGACATGTGCAACCAAAATAAAGAGTTTGATGTATAAATATATCTCAATTAGGGATACTTTAAGTAAACACAGAAGAGTAAATAAAATAATTACCATAAGACGAAGTCGCAAGTCGCAACCTGCAAAGGAGCAACGTACTGCTCCCTTGAGTGCAGGCAGCAAACTGAATCAGACATGCTTAAATGTGAGTGAGTTGCCACATCTTTCTTCAAGTTATGACATGTAAAATGTATCGCGTAGATACTTGGAAATACTTGAAAAGTACTTGAAAGTACTCGAATCTTTTCATTAAATTTCATCAAGTACAAGTTCAAGTACCAACTATAATGAAATTGCAAGTACAAGGTACAAGTACTTGAAAATTGGTACTTAAGTACCAAGTACCAAGTACAAGTAAGTACTTAAACCCAACCCTGATCTTCATTATAGTGCACACCTCCTCCTGGGCAGGAAGTCGTTTGACTGGGGTATGTCTTACTGCTCCCCCTTGTCCATCCCTCTGGTTCTGTATTGGTAAACTTGGCCTCACTACTTCCCCCTTGTATATAACCCACCTGTGTCCGTCCTCGTTATTCGTTGAATTTTCCCTCTTCTGCTTCGAGTTCTTTGCGGTTCCCTCTGTATTACTGTACGATTTGGACACTTGCTCCGTATTCTTTAATGTGGTCCAGAGAGAGCAAGCTTATTCTCCTGATTTTTTCCTCGCCTCCTCACTTCATTATGGGTAGCTTACAGATTCAAAGTCTAGACAAATATTATGAAATTTCATTTTATCGTGTATTTTTGTACTCTCAGCTTCTTCCGACTAAATTTCAGGGACTCCAAACATGATTGCATTGTTCTGGGGCTCTCTTCTATATTAGTGTCGGTTGTAATCTTTATAACACTCTTCTACACACCCACAAGCTGCCTCATGACTTGTTTGGATCCTACTACATCCCTCTCAGTTACCTTCTGTGTCCCTGCCATAACCTGAGAATACCTACTCTTGACTATTTCCTCTATCAACTGCTTCAGCCTTAGTGAGAATCTCTTTTTCAACTTGCTCTGGTTTAGTAACAACCAAGGATCCAGTTTCCTCTAGTTTCGTTGGCTTTGGTATTACAGTCAGGTACTAGCGACAGGTTCCTGCCTTTGTGAAATTCAGCATCGTCCTAAATCCCTGACCAACCCACTCCACACAACCCTTGCAAAATTTCTCCTCAGTACTGGGTACTGTACTGTATTTGGATTTAAGCAAACTGCCTGGTGCCATTGGGGCTGCACCCCTAAACCTGTGCATGTCTCGTCTTACACTTTTCTTTTTTTCTGTGTGTAATTTTACCTGTGAATCATGTAGCATTGGCAGCTGCGCTAAAAATGAATTAAATTTGTGAACACCGTATTAATTAACATTAATATTGTTAGTTATAGTCTTAGGTGTTTTAATTAATACAGATGAATTTTATATTATACAATTTTTGTGTTTGTTTGTCCCTACAGAGATGGAAGCGAGAATGTTGGTAGTGGTGATGTTGGTTGGTGCCGCCGTCCACTCACTCCCACACTCTAAAGTTAACACCCCTCCCCTGCCATACCCTCAAGTTAATGACCCTGTCCCACCACAAATTACTGACAATAGATCTGACCTGAACGACCCTCAGGTTAATGAGGTTGCCCTGCTAGACCCTGCAGTTAATGCCGTTGCCCTGCCACACCATGAAGTTAATGCCCCTCCTGTGCCGAACACTGATGCTAACAGTCCTGCACTACCTGACACTGCCCTTATCAAGTCTACCAGGCCAGTAGTTCCAGGAGAGATAAGTGTCATTATTGTAAAGGCAAGTGACACCGCAAAGAAGACAGGTAGCATCCGGAGTGCTGTGACCACCACAACTCTCGACCCGTTTGATGAGTACTGCAAAGAAGCGTGTGAGGAAGGCGTAGGAGGTCCTGAGTGTGACTGTCCTGACCACCCTATTGGTTAGTGACCTCCTCCTTGACCTTACCCCCACCTTCTTGACCTGAACTGACCTCTGCCATTACCTGGTTAAATGAACTGTTACCATATTAAATGTTAAATATTATATTATGCATATATTTTTCTGTACTATAAAATATATATTGCAAGTAAAACTGTTGAAATAATGTTTGTATTTGTAATATTAAGACAATAAATATTAAGAGAAGAGTATTCCTAATTGTCTGATGGCATGAGTGTTAACTACTAGCATTATAACAAAAATAACAATACTATAACTAACAATAACACCAAACGACATAATAACAAGACCATCAAACAATATAACACCAATGATAACTAACAATACCCATAGCTAAAATAAAGGTAATAACTAACAATAACACCTAACAAAGCCCTTGACAGGACTATCAAAACCAATAGAGAGAGCCTACAATAGCCTTCTTCCCTCGACATGGCCGCCTCTAGTTTGGGTGACCTTCAGGTAAGTAAGGTAAATATAACAGGGAGCAACAATGGATAAGTAAGGGTTTTAGTTAAGTCAAACATAAGGACAATTAAGTTGACTTAAATAATTAATGTACGACCACTAGAACACAAAAACTTCTCAGATATTAGTATATTACAGAAATGACATCTATAAAGAAGTTGTGACTGCTGTATAAGTAAAGTCACATAATAGCAAAGTTATTTTTTTTAAAAATAAAGATGATAATGAACAAAAATTTTATCATCACCTCGGCCACCCACACCAGGCACCGAGGCCTGCGGTGACGTCATGATAATGCAGTCATTTTGTCAGACAAAGATGAGCATAAGAAAACACATGACAAGATGAAGTTTCAGAAATTTTGTGCAGAGGCTTTGAATATATCAGTTGCCCCTAATGGAACGGCTAGGCTCAAGCAAACAGGAGAATAAGCCACACCCCCTAGGATCAAAGTAGAAAGTAAGGGAAAGGTGAGATATTGTTCGACAACCAAAAAGAATTAGCAATCAATTCGAATTCAGCTTTTGGGAACATTTTCTTATATCTATATCGCATGGTAATGAAAAGGGAAGATCACAAGGAAACTCTTGGTAATAAGAACATAAGAAAATAAGGAGTCTGTAATAGGCCGGTTGGCCTGTGCATGGCAGCTCCTGTCGAGAGTTACTACCACTCTCTATCATCCATGAATCTATCTAGCCTCCTTTTAAAACTTTCCACCGTTCCAGCACTTACTACAAAGTTGCTAAGCTTGTTCCACTCATCCACCACCCTATTTGTGAACCAGTTCTTTCCTATCTGCCTCCTAAACCTAAACTTATCCAACTTAAATCAGTTGCTCCGAGTCCTATCCTGCTCGGATATTATAAGAACTTTATCAATATCCCCTTTATTGATTCCTTTCACCCACTTAAATACTTCTATCATATCTCCCCGCACTCTTCGTCTTTCTAGGGGATGCAAGTTTAGTTTCTTTAACCTATCTTGATATGGGTGGTTTCTAAGTCCCGGAATCATTTTTGTCATTCTTCGCTGCACCGACTCCAGTGAATTGATATCCATTCTATAATAAGGGGACCAGAACTGAACCGCATAATCGAGGTGTGGCCTGACTAGCGCAAGATATAGTTGCAATAAGACCTCTGCACTCTTATTACTTACACTTCTAGATATAAAACCCAATACAGTACTCTGTTTGCCTTATTTCGAACATTAACGCACTGTTTTCTTGGCCGTAGGTCCGGGCTTACAAGTACCCCTAAGTCTCTTTCACAAGTCGACTTCTCTAGGTTGATGTTGTTAAGGCTGTATACATTGACAGTATTTGTTCTTCCAATATTAAGTACGCTGCACTTGCTGGTGTTGAATTTCATTTGCCATTTTTCAGACCACCCCTGCAGTTTATTTAAATCCTCCTGTAGTGCATTTGCATCCTGCCCTGAATTAATCTGCCGCCCTATTTTGGTGTTATCAGCAAACTTGCTTATGTCACTGCTGATCCCAGTATCTAGATCGTTTATGTAGATTATGAACAAGAGTGGGTCTAGTACTGACCCCTGGGGAACCCCACTGGTTACACAGCCCCACTCAGATTTAACACCATCTACGCTGACCCTCTGCGTTCAATCGGTGAGCCATGATTTTATCCAATTTAAAACTTTCCCCTCGATACCATGAGCATTAACTTTTCTCAGAAGCCTCTGATGCAGTACTCTGTCAAATGCTTTGCTAAAGTCTAAGTAAATAACATCGTAATTTTCGTCATTATCTACTACCTCGAAGACTTTCCTAAAAAACGTCAGCAGATTTCTTAGACAAGATTTTCCTTTTGTAAACCCATGTTGAGGGTCGTAGATTAATTTGCTTTTCTCTAAATGCGATCGGATGCTATCTGCTATAATTGATTCAAGAAATTTCCCCACTACTGACGTCAAACTGATCGGCCGGTAATTTGATACTGATGCTGTGTCTCCCTTTTTGAATGTGGGTAATACATTTGCCTGTTTCCACAAGTCTGGCACAACTCCCATGTCTAATGATTTTGTAAATAAATTTACGAGGGGTCCGCTAATCTGTTCCCTACACTCTTTCAAGACTCGAGGGAAAATTTCATCTGGCCCTGGGGATTTTGTCTTCTTTAGTTTATTTATCATCTTAAGAACATCCTCTTTTCTGATAGCGATATTCTTTAATTTCTCTTCTTCCTTTCCCCTAAATATCAGTTCCACCTCTGGAATTTCCTCGCGAATTTCTTCTGTGAAAACTGATAAGAAGTAGCTGTTCAAATGCTTTGCTTATTTCTGCACTGCCATTGATCACTTCCCCCCTCCCTGACTTTAAAGGCCCAACTTTGTCCTTGACCTTTGTTCTATATACCTGGAAAAATCCCTTGGGATTCGCCTTGGATTCTCTTGCTATACTGATTTCATAGTCTCTCTTTGCTTTCCTTACATTTTTCTTAACATTCCTAGATAGTTCATTAAAATTTCTTAAAAGTATTATTATTATTTTTTATCATTCGTCTCAGTAGAGGAAGAGTGAGGGGGCAAAGGAATGCCATGCCCTGCCCTGGGTGCCCAGTACTCTAGGGACGATTGTGTATTTTACTTTTACTGTATATAAATTCATTTCTGGAAGGAAGGGGGTGCCAGTGAATAGGTCCGCCCCGGGTGCCAAATACTCTAGGAACGCCCCTGACTGTGAGGGCAAACTTTTTTGGAGTGAGAGTTGTGAACTCTTGGAACAATCTACCAGAAAGTGTTGTGACGGTATCAAGTGCGAGTTCTTTCAAGACTTGACCAACACTGGAGCGGGTTCAGGTACATTCAGGAGCCGGTGCATGCCCAGTACTTGCCAGTAGTGCGTAACAGAGATGTGACCGATCGCCCAAGTGGCTGAAGAGCCGATCTTTTGGTGAAGGGGATAAAGGAAAAGGAAAAGTAATCAGAGACGTGACCGATTGCTCGAGCAGCTAATGAGCCAATTAGTGGTGAAGAGGATAAAAGTAAAAAGATAAGAAATTACCATTGCAATAAATATATTTGTCAACTAGACATAATCCTGACAGCTCTGTCCTCTTGTTCTTTCCTTAATACTGTACAACCCATGTTGTACTGCTTCCCCATTATATTTATATTTTTCAATTCCACTGTAATTTATGTATACAGTAGTACCCCGATTTACGCGGTCAATTGAACCCATGGGGTACCGCAGAAAGTGAAAACCGAGTAAAGTGAACAACAGAACAGATGGGATTAATTGCAATAGAGACTGGCCCGACCCCCTAACTCCACTTTTTCAGACACAATACCTACATTGTAGTAAAAATAACATCTTAATTTTATGATGGTATGCTCACACAATTAATAATTAAGAGAAATATCAGCAATATTAAGTTTTTTAACACTTACCGGTACATTAGTAGAAAAGATGGCTGGGCACACGGGGATGCGGGGTTGGTTCCGAGGCAGAGGGCAGATTATTGGCCCTTACCTGTATCACTTGTATCACTATACACCACATAGGCTTGCAGGGCCTCTTTGTCAAATCCCTCAAAGTCCATATAAGTCCATATCCTCACTATCACTGACTTGGGCCGGCTGTGGTGGGTGGCGAGTGAAGAACTCGGTAATGTTTTGATGACTGGGCGACCTTGTGCGCATCCTGCCCGCGCCACTTCCCGCGTATATGAGTAGATGCACTGCATAAAGTGAAAGTCCGGTTCTGGCGAGGTACCGCGTAAATGCGAAATCGCGGAAAGTGAAACCGTGTAAAGCGGGGTATTACTGTACTCATAATATAAATAAAATAAATAAATAATAATACAGTGATAATAAATAAATAAAATAAATAAATATTGAAGTGATAACCGTGGTAACATTATGAGATGTTCTTATTACCACCATGCTATTGTACTATGCGTCGCATTCTGGGATTGAACAAAAACAGAACAAATGGAATTAATTGAAATAGAGACTGGGCCGACTCCTAAACTCCACTTTTTTCGACACAATACGTACCATGTAGTAAAAATAACATCATAATTTTATGATGGTATTGACACACACATAATATCTAAATAAAAAACTACACTACTGTACAAATATAAGGGTGTTTAACACTTACGTTAGTAGAAGAGATGGGTCGGCACACGGGGATGGCGGCTGGTTCCGAGGCATAGGGCAGCTTAGTGGCCCTCCGGTGAATCACTATCACTATTCACAGAGGTTTGCAGGGCCTCCCTGACAAACCCCTCAAAGTCCATATTCTTACTGTCACTATCACTGACTTGGGCTGGCTGTGGTTGTGGTGGGTTGCGGGCGAAGACGTCTGTAATACTACGTTGACGACTAGCATTGATGTTGTCGTCATACATCTGGACATACGGCTCCATAAATTTCGACAGAAGGTTATTAGACACTTCATACCGATGCTTGACTGTGTCTTTGTCAAGGACGAGCTTGATTTTCTCCACCAACTCGATGACTTCCTTCACATAACCATGGCTTGGTCCAGGTAGTTCAAGGTTTCTCGAGGGTGGTGGGGGTCCAGCGAAAGCCATTGTGAGGGGAATAGCGGGCACGAGAGAGAACAGTATACGCGGAAACTGAGAACAATGAGACTGGCCCGGCTAGGTCAGCGACTTCTTCCCTCTGGTGGCAGGGCACGTTATGTTACATTAGACCAATCACAGCTAGCGGCGGAGGAAGGTAAGGATGCGTGGCCCAATCACAGCTAGCGGCGGAGGAAGGTAAGGATGCGTGGCCCAATCACAGTCCGATACGTCATATGACGTCAGCGATAACGTAAGAGCGACCTAATGCACACCCTCCCCGCGCCGCTTCCCGCGTAAATGATGGAATGAACCGCGTAACTTAAAATTGTCATTCTGGCAAGGTGCCGCATAAATGACCAAACGCGTAAACAAAATCCGCGTAAATCGAGACTATACTGTATTATTATCCACTCTGTATCTGTGTTTTTCTGGCTAAATAAACTGTTTCAATTCAAATTCAGTGTAGGAGGAAGGAAGAAGTGTGGGAGGGAGAAGGAGTATGGGAGGAAGGAAGGCGGGAGTCTGGGAGGAATAATGGTGTGTAGGAGGGAGGAAGGAGTATGTGAGGAAGGAAGCAGTGTGAGAGGGAGGAAGGAGTGTGGGAGGGAGGGAACAGTGTAGGACAGAGGAAGGAGTATGGGAGGGAGGGAGCTAGTGTAGGAGGGAAGAAGGAGTGTGGGTGGATGTAACCATGCAGTAGGACTGGGAGTGATAGGGGTAGGTGAAATGGAAGGAGTACTGCACGTTCCTGGAGATGGGGTAGGCAGCAACCCTCTCTCCTCCACTTGCTACTCATCATCATCATCATCGTTGCTTTCTTCTTGTTCAAACGCATAATAGGGTCACTATGTCTTATTATCACCACCTTCAACACCACTATCAATACATACCTCTGTTAATACCATGTTCATCTTCACCCATAGCAAATAATTCAGAGTATATCTCATCCTAACTGAGTTACGTTCACGTGCCATGGCTATTGAGACTACTGCGTAGGTAGTAGGCAGCTATCATACAGGGAGGTACTGCCACTGGGGAAGATATTGGAAGGATAATGTGATGCCATATGGCACCACAAAAATTGTGATCAAGGTTGCTGATCTGACTTTCTGCCTCATTTACACACAATTGCAGGGTCTCAAATGTTTCTCATATGACTGACAATACAACATACATACTGTATATTGTTTCTCACTCTTGACCTTTTTTACAGTTTTGTACTGTATTTATGGTTCTTTATTATTATTAATATTATTATTATTATTATTATTATTATTATTATTTGTTTGTTTTTTTATTATAATTTTTATACAGGTATATTTTTGTTAATTATCATTATTATTATTATATCCCCCCCCCACTCCCCCAGGCCCCGATGTGGGTTAGTGGCCTGTTCGAAGAAGGGTTAATCTCTGTTAAAAAAGAAAAAAAAAGGCCTTGATTGTTGGAAAAGACAGGAGGGTGGGCCCGGGGAGGTTCCTCAATGCCGAGTGGCGGGAAATGTTTCCACAAGATGCCAGACACCACCAGCTTAGTTTCAAAGACACAGGAAAAAAATATTTAGAAAATGTTCTGGTCCGTGAATGACCAGAGATAGTAACATGGGTGATCACGTACTTGAACGTTAATGACCAGTTATTGGCTAAAAAGTTAAAACGGCATGTGACTGTGTAGGATTTATTAGTGACGTGGTATAGTAATTGGCAAGAAGGATCAATATGACCAACGTTTTAAGAGAACAATACTTATTCAACACTCTGTAACACTTCAATGACACAGTGTTACAATACCTCCTGCACCATTATAAGTTTTTCCTCTTTAAACTATGTATTAATTTCAGAAAATAAGTCTCATATCACTGATCATTAGCAATAACAAATGCCTTACTCGTGTGTAAAGGCATGATTTATATAGTCAAATGTATTTTCTTCTCCAATTTCATGCCCAGGTGAAGGAGCTCTTGATGACAAAACACCAACAGTGACTTGATGAGGATGAAGAGAGTTGGCAGTGCTCTCTGGTGCTGGTTGCCTGCCACCTCGACGTGATGACACTAACACAGGGGCAGCAGCATCACGACTGTTGCTGCCAGCCTGTTGGTACACACAAATTAAATCATCACAAGATTGTTTTATTATGAACAGGAATACAAACTTTAAATGAATAGCATCATTAATAACTTAACCTATCTTAATTTAGGTAGCATATATGAATACCTGTAATATCCATTGAGTTATAGGGGTAAAACCAAAAAGGTTATCACTACAGTATTTGGTAAACATGTAAGTTGTATTTTTAAGACTTAATCATACTATCATTTCAATTTAGTGTGACAGACATGCAGACACACAAAGTGTAATCACATGTGTGTGTGTGTGTGTGTAGTAATAAAAGTAGTGTGCAATTAGACATTCTTAGTTAAAATCCCTGATATATTTGATTTAGCATCTGGATCCCATTACCTACATAAAGAATTCTGTATTATGGGAGGATAGAGAACTCGATGCCAAATTTTTACTTCTCCAGCAATGATGGCATCATCAAACAGCCGCTGTGTATAAAACATATTTAGCCCATTGTGCCTTACATAGTATTATGCAATAACACCAGATTATTTACTAAAAACAATTTACTGTATATATCGCCTGTAGATTATTGACATCCAACTTCTTAGATATCCAGGGTTAATTCTCAAAACAACACATTGATTATTTTGCAGTAGAATACAATTATTTGCCCACTTAAGGAATAATATCCCTTTTGTTTTTTCAGTAAGAGCAATGGTGGTAGCTATGGCTTTAAACCAGCTTTACACCTTTCAATATGGATATAAATATTGCAGACAGTTAACCAATGCACTTTATAGTATTTTTTTAAGATTATTATTTTAGTAGTGATACAAAGAACATCACACTATGTACAAGTTGCTCACAGAGTTGGTAGTGACACCAGTTTTTCACATTTTATATTACAGTATACTCAACAAAATTATCATGTATGTTTGGTAGCTGGTGCCTCCTTGCAAAACAAAGACTAAATATACAGTGTGTTGTATCTACACTGTATCTAACAGACAGGCATGTCCATTGGACCTTTTTTTCTTTATTGGTAGCTCAAAAAAATATTAAATGTCACAGAGTATTTTTTTGGATTACAATAAATTAGTACAGTATATGGTTTTAACACATATACTTTGAACTGTTACCATGTTTGAACATACCTTACATGAAATTTTTTACGAGATTAAACTCAGTTGAAGTAGTAGATGCCTTTTATGACAAACATCACATCTTTATACCCCAAAGATATTCTTATGATACCTGGAAGTTGTCAAAAACTAACAATGGACGAGTTGATGGTTCTGGGTAAACAGAAGAAATACACTCTGCCACGTTCATAGAGTGATACGGTATATATAATTTGAAATTAAAGTTTAAAGTCCTGCTATAAGAGTCGAGATAAGTTTATATCTCTAGAAACAGGGCTGCCATTTGCAATGACGTCACCACCTACCCTGTAGATGTTGCACGGATGGAGATACAAGTCAATTGAGAAGACAGACTGGTAACCAACTGCGTATGTATTGCCGAGCAGTTTTATGAAAAATAATGCAAATAAAATATTCTAAATGAATTATTTATAGCAAATAATTATTAAGATCAGTAAATATATGTATTATTGGCCACCTCGGACACAAAGGCGAGCTAAAAATAGCTGCTAAGTGCATAAGGACCACGAGCATCAGTTGTCAAACCAACACTGTCTCCTTAACTCCCCCCTCCTCCCTCCCTCGCACATCCAGGGAAGTTTCTAGAGGGTCAATATATAGTTTTTCTTATTTATTTTTATTGTTTTATCATTTAAAAAGGTTAAAAATTATTTTTTTGGAAAAGTTCCTGCGTGGGGGTACTGCCAGCGGCACCCTAACCTGGGCGTAAGGGTTAACACGGACATCCCATAATAAGATAAAATTTGTAAACTACAAGTTGGGCACACTTTTACGGAGAGCCACCCCTCACATTCATATGATATACAGACCTTAAATGAACACAAACTGACATATTTCTTCATGTACACTCACACACCATAGTTTCAATGCACCCTCTACCCCTACTCCTGACTCGATTGAAGTCGTAGCCTTGGATTCATACCGAACATCCCCCTCCTCCCCCACCCATCGTTCAGTGGTGCATTGTGGTAGCTCGAAGCTTCGCTGGATTGTACGAATAGCAGTTCATGATGTAATATTTGAGAGAATATATGCACGATACATTTTTTTTAGTGACTTCACAACACTTTATATACCATCACTATACTTAACATCACTATACAAGAGGGACCGTTCAGTTTGCAGCCCTGACTATGACTTCCCTCGAGCCAGGAGTAGGGGTAGAGGGTGCATTGAAGCTACAGCAACTCCTCGACTTACGACATACTTGACCAATGACCACCCGGACATACGACCGCCTCAGTCGTACCAAAATTTTGTCAAATTACGCATTTTCTAGTCCCAACGTTAGTGATTGCGCCATGTACTGACAAAATTTTCGTTTGTAATTCACTTTAAAATGGCTGGCAAGCTTAAAAGTGAGAGTTTTGAGGTGCTGAGAAGAAAATGAGACACCCATTTTAGATTTTCTATATATTATTTAAGCATTTTTTACTTACGACCTGGATTTGGATCCCTAACCCAGTCGTACGTCAAGGAGCAGCTGTATAGCGCGTGAGTGTACATGATTTAAGAGGATAAAATTTTGCCCTTGCCCTACTCAGCACTGTAATTAATTCCTAATGGTGTACAAGCAACCAGTTCACAACACTGGTCTATTGAACTTTCTGTTGGTGCGGTGGACTCACAATGTCACTGTTACTCTTATTTTACTTCCTTCTCTTCCCACTTGGCAAATACGTACAGTACTTGGCAAGTTCTGTTGATGGCTATTAAGTCACTTGACAGTCTCCTGTGCCATGTCTTTATCTCACATGAAGCATAAAATAAAATTTCACAAGCTTGGGTCATGGTATAAAAAGTAAGTACATAATGGTATTGTAACAGCACCATTTGCATTATATATATATTTACCCAAATGTATAATACCAAATTATTCACCAAGTTATTCAACTGTGCCTCAACTGTTGACATTATGCATGGCTGAGCTTGCAGTTCCTTCGGGGAGTGAGTGAGGTCAGGCTGAGGTCAGCTCATGTTAGCACAACAGTATATCTGACGTGTTTCTTTTCTCACACTCCCGAGGGCAGGCGAGGTCAACCAAGTCATAACATACCTGGCCTGCCCCTCCTTCTCTCTCTTGGTTAAGAGGGGCTGGGGAGAGATCAGACTCATATCACTTGTTACCCAGTGAACACCTCACTTAAGTGTTCTCCTTTAAGTGCACTAAGATACTTCCCTTAGCAGAGAAGGTACAATACACTCTCAACTGAACTCAGTAACTGTGAAACTCAATTTTCTACAATAAAGAAAAACCAGCAAGGTGTTTACTTCAGCCCAGCCACTTACTAGTTCCAGAACTAATATATATATATTTGTGCGTGATATATATATCTATAAAAAAGGACCAACACAATATCTTACTTGGAAGTGTACCTGTGTGAAGCTGCTGGGCCCAAGTTCTTTCTTGAGCTTGTAGCACAGTGTTAATATTACTGCCATCATCACCAACAGAATTAGTATTATTCCTAACAAAATCCACACTGTTGCATGCAACCCGGTTACGCTGGAAGATATCCCGAACTCGGAAGCAAAATACGTCTCCGTAGATTCTGTTGAAAAAGAAAATTTTTACAAAACATGAGTACTGCACAAAAAATAAATAAATGAAAAATAAATAAATAAAATAAGCATCATTTTACTGTGTTAGGTTACAACATTTTTATAATTCTTATTTTTGGATCTGTGATATTCATTAAAATAAATGTTTTTTCTGAGTTGCTGAGTTGTCCTCATAAAATTGCCATCAAATGCATGTGACCTGATACACACACTGGCCAAGTTGGACAAGTAACCCTTATTGTCCTTCCGTCTTTCTGGTCTGAACCAAATCTTATTTTTTCTCATTTAAACCAAATATCAGTCTTCAAAGAAAATATATCATCAGTTACAAACCGTAGGAGTTCTCAAAAACAGTTTTCCTGACACCAAAAATTTATGTTGTGTGTGGTTACGTGACATGTTATTTGAGCTATACAGTACTGTACACTACATCATTACACTCTGTATATCTTTTGAACAAACAAGACCTGGAAATAAAATAATGAGGCTTTGTTTGAGTGATGTTGGCCAGGATGACAGACTTACATTAGATTTTTTTTTTTTTTTTTTAATGGGGATTAGCCCACCTGGGCACAGGTCACTGACCCACATTGGGACCTGGGGGAAGAAAATGTAATAATAATATAAAAATACTAATAATTAGTTCATAGTAAATAAAATTTATAATAAAAAAATAAACTAAAAATAAAATAATAATAATAATAATAATAATAATAATAATAATAATAATAATAATAATAATACAGTATTACCCCGCCTAACGAGGTTTCACTTAACGCGTTTTATCATATACGCGGTGCCTCGCCAGAGCTGAACTTTCACTTAACACAGATTTTTTCCACATATACGCGGTGAGTGTCCGGCTCGAGACGCTATTTTTAGATTTGCCCCACCCGCCACCCTGCCTGACTGCCTGTTTTAGCTCATAAAATTCATACAAATTACCCGGCCAGAATATAATTTACATTGCTGGAATTCTTATAATTTGGTGATCATTTTGAATATAAACATCCTATATTTTGCATTAGACATACAAATTTTAGATAAAAATTTTTCTCAGAGTAACTATGTTATCTTTTGTGCAAAATATGTGACATTTATATTCAAAATATTCCTGGTCTTACAAGGAATCCAGCAATGTCAATTATATTATCCTAACTTTAGTTTGAGGTATTATTTATTAAAATTTAGTGGTTTTCCCACACATCTCCTTGGGACGGTTGGTGGGGGGTGGGGGGGAGGGAGGGACCGACCGACCATCTGTTACCCAGTGAAGAATATATGTTTTTTTTATTAACTGAAGATATTTGTTTTAGCTCATAAAATTCATACAAATTACCCGGTCTGAATATAATTTACATTGCTGGAATTCTTATAATTTGATGATCATTTTGAATATAAACATCATATATTTTGCATTAGACATACAAATTTTAGATAAAAATTTTTCTCAGAGTAACTATGTTATCTTTTGTGCAAAATATATGACATTTATATTCAAAATATTCCTGGTCTTACAAGGAATCCAGCAATGTCAATTATATTATCCTAACTTTAATCTGAGGTATTATTTAATACTAAATGTTAAAAACTCTTGAAGGGAGGATTGGTGGGGGGTGGGGGGGAGGGTTGGGACTGACCGCGCGGTTGGAAGAGGGGGGGAGGCAAGGTGGGGTACTTTGATTGACAGATAGTGTCGTGAAGATTATTTTTTTTTTTATTAACTGAAGATATTTGTTTTAGCTCATAAAATTCATACAAATTACCCGGTCAGAATATAATTTACATTGCTGGAATTCTTATAATTTGGTGATCATTTTGAATATAAACATCATATATTTTGCATTAAACATACAAATTTTAGATAAAAATTTTTCTCTAGGTAACTATGTTATCTTTTGTGCAAAATATATGACATTTATATTCAAAATATTCCTGGTCTTACAAGGAATCCAGCAATGTCAATTATATTATCCTAACTTTAATCTGAGGTATTATTTAATACTAAATGTTAAAAACTCTTGAAGGGAGGATTGGTGGGGGGTGGGGGGGAGGGTTGGGACTGACCGCGCGGTTGGAAGAGGGGGGGAGGCAAGGTGGGGTACTTTGATTGACAGATAGTGTCGTGAAGATTATTTTTTTTTTATTAACTGAAGATATTTGTTTTAGCTCATAAAATTCATACAAATTACCCGGTCAGAATATAATTTACATTGCTGGAATTCTTATAATTTGGTGATCATTTTGAATATAAACATCATATATTTTGCATTAAACATACAAATTTTAGATAAAAATTTTTCTCTAGGTAACTATGTTATCTTTTGTGCAAAATATATGACATTTATATTCAAAATATTCCTGGTCTTACAAGGAATCCAGCAATGTCAATTGTATTATCCTAACTTTAGTTTGAGGTATTATTTATTAAAATTTAGTGGTTTTCCCCCAAAAATTTCTCAGAGAGGGAAGAGCCGGCAGTGTAGTGTGAGAGGGGGAGGGAGTTGAGTCCATTATTTGAATGGACATTAACTTGGCGACTGTATTTCTCTATTTCTCTTAAGTATTAATTGTGTGCATGTACCATCATAAAATTAAGATGTTATTTTTACTACAACATAGGTATGTGCCTTCAAAAAGTGGAGTTTGGGGGTCGGGCCGGTTTCTATTGGAATTAATCCCATATGTTCTGTTGTTCACTTAACGCGGATTTCACTTAACACGGGACCCTCTGGGTTCTATTGACCGCGTTAAGTGGGGTACAACTGTAATAAAGAAATAAAAAAATGAACAAATATCAACAGTGAGAAACGATATATATGTATGTTGTGTTGTCAAAGTAAGAGAAACAAATGAGACCCTGCAATTGTGCATAAATAAGGCAGAAAGTCAGATCAGCAACCTGGGACTTGGTCACAATTTTTGTGATGCCATATGGCAGCAGGGTCTACCATTAGACAACACATTATTTACCTTATTTACCTAATGGCCACCCACTAGAGGTGGCCATGCTGAGGGAAGAAGGCCAGTGGCCTGTGTAGGATCTTTCCACTATTCTTGCTAATTTTGTTAAGGGCTATTTTGAAGCCCAGTATACTGTTCTCGAATACCACAGTGTGAGAGATTTGAATCATAGACCACGTTCTTTGTAGACTTTATTCTTACAGCGTCAGCTGGTGACTGGCAACCCGGCGCTGCCACAGACAAGCTCCCACCTCCCCACATGGGAAAACATATCATACGATGGTACTCCATTTCACAATCTTACACACAGCTTGAGCTGTTAGACCATTCCATAGGTCTACCAGCCTCTGTGTAAAAAAGTTTTTCCTTATATTTGTTCTGCATGAAAACTTGACGAGATTGTAGTTACGTTTTCTCATGTTGGTGGTGCGTGACATCACAAAAAAAAATGTCCAGGGTTCACGTTTTCCATCTCTTTCAAGATTGTGGATGTTTCATTGAGAGCTGCTCTATTGTGCCTTGTCTGAAGGGTTGTTAGTCCTAAACATACAGTGCAGTTAGTGAGGATCACCATCCTTAAACACGAGCACAGGAGAGATATCTTAAGGAAGGCACAGAACTTCAAGTGAGAAAGAGAGTATAGTAATGTGTTCATAACCCCTGACCTGACAATTTGCCAACAAAAATGGCAAAGAACTCAGGGACAAACTGAAAGAGTTATATAAGGACCCACAATATGGAAATGCTCAACTAAAGATCAGAAAAGGCAAAGTAGTCAGGGTACAAGAAGATGGGGAAGTCAAAGTAATGTACAAGCCCTCCCTTTAAAAGGGGCAAGTGGCAAACAGACTGTAAATACTGTTAACATAGTGCATGCTGTAGCTTTAAGTAATATTACAAACTCAAAGAGAACAAATTCTCTCAAAACACAATCTTCAAAAACGACAGTCCTAGAAACTGGGCCAATCAGGTGTTGCTACACAAATAAGACTGACATAGTGAGTGCAAATATGAACACAGAACAAGCAGATGTATGGCAGGGTGACTTTTATTTACTAGGTTATCATCCACCATTTAGAAAAGACAGGGCCACAAAAGGTGGTGGTGTACTATATGTCAAGGAGAACCTGCTAGCAGCCACTAATGATGCATCCAAATCTATTTGGTGTGATTTGATAGCTCAAAACAAAAGCAAAGTGACAGTCTTAACTTTCATAGACAATCTGTTGGCTTACATCATTGATCAACTGGATGTGGGTGACGTTTACCTAGTTCTTGACATACTATGACCACAGTACTGTACAAAGGGATCTACACACCTATCAAGAGCAATCACCACCACTTACATTTGAACACACCACTACAATCACAGAAAGTGCAGCAAGACTTATCTGGTGTTATCTGAAAGAATATCCCATTCTGCTGGTAAACAAAGAAAGGCACTTGGTTGTGACTGGTCATGACTCAGTGCCATTTGAAACTGTCACAATCTCATAACAACACATGAAGATGCAAATGTGATTATTGTACAGCAGGCAGTATTCTTTGCTTCACAGGGGGCAGGTACTGTAGTATCAAAGTTGTAAGTGATGACACGATGTGCTCATCCACTCTTATCAGCTGCAGTAGCTAACCTATAATGTGTTCATGGCTCCTACTAGTCCTGGTAAATCCACAGTTGATATTCAAGCTACTGCCAAAAAGCATCAAAGTGTGACTGAAGACCTGATGCCGGCCCATATTGTGACAGGATGTGACAATGTTTACAATCTATTTGGTTCTGGCAAAGGTACAGTTGTAAGAAGTCTTGAATAGGTTTATAATTTATGCAAACTTGGAAAACTTGACTTTGCCACAGTTAATAGCAGCACCTCTCATGTTCCATCATGTTCTGTGCATGACATGGTGGGCGCCAAAGAATGTCAATGAGAGAACAGAAACAATTCATGAAAATAAGATAAACAAGTAGACTATAAGTCCAAATTAAATAAAAAACTGGTGCAATTACTTTACTTATTTATGTATATTTACCTAATATTTACCAGTACAGTAGGAGCAATAGAGAAATTTTTAAGAAACTGAAAATGTCTCAAGGGAGTATATTATCTTATGCCCTTCTGAAAAATAAGTAACATTAATCTTTTTATTGAGGAATAAACAGTTCAGGTTGAGATACACATGACCCACCTTGCTCACAATTAATAGTATACTCGATGGATGTGTTAACAGTTAACAGTTTCAGTCTCAGTCTCGTCACGCCAGTTCTCAGGAGATGAACACTTGCGGCCAGTGGATTCAGATTCTTGTGGTAAGACACAAATTTGCGAGGGATATTCGTGTTCTTGTGAGGAATGACGGCGAACTGAAGAAGATGCTGATAATGAAGGCGAAGATGCAGTGTCGTCCAAGTCAAAGGAATGGGTGTGACTGGCCAAGGTACCTGTCAGTTTTCATTATCTTATAGTGTACTGTATATAAAAAAAGCTACAAATCACTTTTTTTCCTTTTAATACATAAAAATATCATACAATATTTGGAAAAGTTAAAAAGTGAAAGCATATACAGTATTTCTAAAAAATATACTAATTTAGTAGTTTTTATTTTCCTTCTTCTCAACTGGATAAGGTATAAATTATGATGTCATGAACCACAAAACAGCTTACTTTAAATATGGTGGTGTTTGTTGAAGCATCCTTCATGGTGACTACAGTACTCCACTGTGCATTCATATTAACATCCATCCCTAGACAATACAGCAACCCCTCCTGGGCAGTCTCCAGCAGCAACTGTATACTTAACTTTTCCACTATCGTCCGAGGTCTTAACTGTAGCATGACAGCCTCTTCCAGCATCATTGATGGTGTTAAATCATTCTGTAGACTTAGTTGGCCAGATAAACAGTCTGAGAAAACAAAACAAAATTTACACGAGTAGGTTCCAAATATGAATCGGGTATTAAATCAACATCTCTGTTTTTTTATATCAGTAAATATACAGAAAAACCCTGACAGAAGAGGTTGTAAAAACAAAAGTACACCAATAGAGATCCAGTATTTGTCCAATTAAGCTTCAATATGCAACTCACATTTTTGCCCAAATATGAATAACAGTTTGTTTCATCAATCTAGATACTATCATAAAATGCAATATGCTTACCTAAACTCTGTTTAAGTTATATTAGTTTAGGTCAGGTTATTAGGTTAGAAGTGATGTCATTAATTGATCATTTTTATTATGATTATCTGTCCGATTGAATTTTGTAACAGCTGTTTAGATGGGAGTTGAGAAATCCGGTGAAAATCATCACCATTAGACCCCTTCAAAAATGTTGCTATTGACATTCCTGTGACGGCATTGAACTGGAACAGTTAAGGTCCCTCAAGCACTCTCTGGTCCCCAGGTGATGACTTACATTGAATTTTAGTGACAGTAAATATCCCAACTCGTGTACAGTACAGTACCTTTTACCTAATGGCCACAAACTAGACTTTTACTTTTATCCTCTTTGACACTGATTGGGTAGTTGGTTACATTTTTGTTATGCACTGTTGGCATGTTCTGGCTCCAGAATGTATCTGTAGCTGTGCCAGTGTTGGTTAAGTCTGGTCTTAAAAGAGCTCACACTCAGTGCTGTCACAATACTCTCTGGCAGATTGTTCCAAGAGTTTACAATTTTCATTCCCAAAAAAGTTTGCCTTCACAATATTCTGGGCTTGTGGCTTCCTCAAACTTGAGCTGTGACCCCTTGTGGAGCGGGTGGGCATCAGCCAGCTCCAGGTATGGACACTCGACTAAGTAGTGGTCCCTGAGATGTTTATAGTATAAGCTAGCCAGTTGCAGGCATTCTAATCTCTTTGGGTAACTGAAGTGCTGTAGTGCAGACACCAGTCTGGTGGCCTTCCTTTGGACGATTTTAATCAATTGAGTCTGTCACAACACCTGGGTCACTACACCTTCACAACACCTGGGTCACTACACCTTCACAACACCTGGGTCACTGCACCTTCACAAAACCTGGGTTGCTACACCTTCACAATCCTCTCCATGTTGATGGTGTTAGCATAATGTAATGTCAACTGACAAAAAAAGGCACACAGAATCACAGCTCTATCTACCCATTCTGTGAATCCATCCATCCCTACAAAATTTATGATGCTAAAGCAGGTTCTGCACATGCGCACTACTCCATGTTCAGAAATTTCACACTCAGGTATTTTGCTTGACACCGGAGAAAACAGTGGATGACACCTTTCTCACATACGACCTGGAAATTGAATTGGCAGACACAGGGGTGAGAGGCAAGCAAGCTACTGCTGTACTAACCTATCAATTTTCTCTCTACAGGGGTCCAGCTTCCATTCATCCATCCCAGTCTCTGCCTTCCACTGGCCCTCTTATCCTCAATTTTATCCATTATTTTCCCTTTACTATGGATAAAGTACATTTCTCATTCTATAGCTTTCCAGTAGTATTGTTCTCATTACACTAGGTAATCTTAGGTCATTTGTTTTTGTGTCAGTTTACCTCACCACTAACACCATGACTTGATAGTCGCCCGGCTCCTACTGTGGTCTGCTCGGTGTCCACCTTCCTGATCTGACAATAGTATTGATCATAAATTGTATTTCAGCAATTATTTTCTTTAGCTTGAGTTAACATCCTATTTAACAGGCCTTTAAAATTATTAAATGTTGATTTTATTCGACCTGTTCCTGTCTTAACCCCTATGTCCCGGTTGAGGTTCCAAAACGTCCATCTAGGGCGCCCCGATTGACGTTTCGGAACGCACGCCTTTTCGCGGCATTAGCGGGTTATCAGGTTCTGAAGTGACTATTTATGTGTCACGCCACAAGCTTGGCCACAGGGAAGCTTCCTGAATGTAAGTACCTACTTTTGTTTTGTTTCATTTTAATTTTTTCTATTTTATCACGTTGTATCAAAGTAATATTGCTAAAAATAGTGTAGTTGTATTGTAGTGTAGTATTACTGGGAAATAATGCTATGATTATGTTATAAATGTATTTAATTGTGGAATTATTATTCCGATTATTATTTATATGCATTACTTGCTCTACCAAACTCAAAGACAGCCAGACAGACTACTGGTGACAGACTGCGTGTGTCGCCAAACACTTTTTATGAAAAAGAATGCAATAAAATATTCTAAATGAATTATTTACAGGAAATAAGTGCAGTATTATGATCAGTAAATATATGCATTACTGGCCATCCTGGACACAAAGGCAAGCAGAAAATGGCCGCTAAGTGCGTAATGACCACAAGTGCTAGCTGTCAAAAAACACTGCCCCCTTATCTCTCTCACCATTGCTGTCCCAGGGAAGTTCCTAGAGTCACTATTTAGTTTTCCTTACTTTTTTTTTTTGTTTTATCATTTAAAAAAGGTAAAAAATTGTTTTTAGAAAAATTGATTTCTCTCGATTTACCCTGCGTGGGGGATACGGCCAGCGGCACCCTGGCCTGGGCCGTAGGGGTTAAATGTTCTTCTACATCAAATGTCAAAATTGATGTTACTTCCCAGATGAACACCAAAATTCCCCTCTAAGTTGATGAGAAACTTAGCTGGAGGAACCACATACAGTACAAGCCATTCATAGTAAAGTCAATAAACAGCATGGTATATCATGTATCACACTCGACAGTCACTCACTCTTACAGCAATGAAAGAAATCTATCATGATCTTGTTTACCAACACCTGATACACTGTCACACTATGGGGGCCTCTGGCTCTTCAAAAACACAATCCCTGGTTATTGCATAAAAGAGAGTTGTGCGGACAATGACCTACTTGAAAAAACTAATCACACAAACAAACAATTTTCTAAATTGAAAATATTAAATTTCGAGGATATTAACACCTACTGCTGTGCTCTATTTGTCTACAAATCTGCTTGACAATAATTATTTCCAGTTCCAGAATAATCAGAGATACAACTTAAGGCACCCAGAACTACTAAGACCACCCCCATGCGCTCCTCTCAGTCCCAGATCTCCATAAAATATCATGGTGTGAAGATGTGGAACAACTTAACCCCACCCATCCGAGCAAAGTCTACGATCCCTTCCTTTAAATCATCTCTTTAAAAATATCTATTGTGTAGGTGTTAAAATTTTTGGTAATACAGATGTACAGTACAGTAATCCCGTGTTTTTCACTTTTTTTTTATCGCAGTTTTGACCATTTCCGTTTTTTTACAAAAAATTACATATACTGAATATAAAATATCCTTTAAAAACAAAAAATTTAATTTTGCGCCATTTTCAATATTCACCTGTGAGGTGTGACAAACAGATGCCACCCTTTCCCGCCTCAGTCCACACGTGCCTACGATACTGTGAACGCTACTGTGATTATCTCTTCTTTTTGTTCTCCCACATACATTCCACATGGCTCTGGGACATAAGCCAGCCTCATCAAAGGCAAATATTACTAGCAAAGACTCTAAAGTGAACAAGAGATCAAGAATAGTGATGACCTTAATGGAAAAAAACAGTTTTATTGGACAAGCTCAGAGGTGGTATGAGCTATGGCTCGAGATGTGGTGAAGACTGACAATTCATTTGTGTCTTTTGTCAGAATACAAGTCTTCAAGTGGAGGAATGTGGGTGGAAGAGGACTGGCTGGCTGGCTGGCATGACTGCGTGAGAGCGGGCAGACGCCGGGACAGCTGGGAGAGGCTGGCAATGCGGGTGTTGCCGACCTCAGCGAAACATAAAAATTTTTATTTACTTGTAAATAAATTTTTTTGTATATAACTGTGTTTACGTTTTTCCATTATTATACTACAATATGATTAGTTTCAAATAAAGATGTTAGTAAATGCCGGTACAGTGCATCAGTGATCAGTGTCACCACTGGGCCGTGAGTGGAGAGCATGGCGTGGTTAAGTGCATGACCTACCTGAGCTGTTTGGTGGCCACAGATACAGTGATTCCTAAAAGAGCATTCGCCGTCTTGGCTTTTTGCAGGGGGTTTCAGGAACGTAATTCCCACGAAAAACACGGTATTACTGTACCTACCTTATATACCTGCTTTTATTGTACCCCCAAAACCGTTTTATCAGAAATTATCATTTAGATAGATAGAAATTACCATTGCAATAAATATATTTGCCAACTAGACATAATGTTGACAGCTCTGTGCTCTTGTCCACCTTAATACAACCCATGTTGTACTGCTTCCCTTCATTATCATACAGGTATTTATGTTTTTCAATTCCACTGTAAATTATGTATACACTGTATACATACTGTATAATATAAATGTAAAAAAAAATTAAAAAATAAATAAATATCGAAGTGATAACCATGGTAACATTCTGATATTTTCTTACTACCACCATGCTATGTACTATTCCAATTGATATTAAATGTTACTTAATACTTCCTTGAGATAAATGTACAGTATATAACAGGTGCCTACAAGAGAGCTCTGGCTGTCAACTGGCCGAGCCATGTTAAAATTATGATTTTTAAATGACTCTGTACCTGTGTTCTTCTAGCTAAATAGACTGCTTCAATATCAATATCTTGCCTACCATAATATTATTTTTAATATTTATACTGTATCTAATTTTAGAAACAACCATTTCATCCATCTTATAGCATGTCCCTATTCTTTGCCTTTTTATACTAATCTGTCAATCAGTTTTGTTATGTCTCATTCTCTGAAGTAGGAACAGTATCTCTGCAACCTGACTATTTGCTATTTCTTATCCATTAACATATATTCCTTCACTTACAACTTTATTCACTACAAGCAATGAATAAGTAATGTACTAATGCTAGAAATAGCATGCAGCCTTGTCTAGCTTCATGTATAAGCCCAAACTAACTTGTAAGTTTGTTATTTAGAAACACTTCAGCTTCTTTATGCAAATAAAAATTTTTAGAATTGTAATATAACCACTATTAAAACCGATATTTTCTCAGGCGTCTAAGAGTTTATCATGTTTTATCACTTTAAGTGCTTTTCCAAAGTTCCTAGACCAGATATTAACATTTCTATGAACCTCTGAACCACTTTCACTTAAAATTCTTAAACCAAAGATATCTCTCCTCAAAGTGTCTGTAAACTGTGTGATGCCCTTGGCCAGCACACTCACTCTTTACTTTTACTACCCCCAAAATTGCTTATTTCAAATTATCAACCAATTTATATTTTATGAAAACTCACCTTGCATGTTGGTGGGCAGGGGCATCACTATCATCAGCCACACAAAGATATGTCTGGCCCACACCATCCTCTGCTGCATCTTATACTGTACCTAAATTTTAACAGGCCACCAGTACACTCCCTTGGTTTTATAGTGTTTGATGTAGTGAAATTCTTGGTCACTTTTCAGTATTTTCTACATACCATTTCATCTGCAAATAATGTTATCTGAAAATACTACAGACATACTTGAGTTCATTTTGAGAGATGATAAGTTCAGATATTATAATGATTCCTTCATTTTTCACTAAAGGGCTTTGTCAGAGTGGTAGATGACTCAGTACTGTGTGAACTCACATAGCACTTTACCACAGGAAACACACCGACATCACTTCACAGGATGCCGCTTATCTTATTTGTTACACCTCAGTTCAAAAAGTAAGTTATGCTTCAGATGTGTTGTTCAGTGGTGCTGCATCTTAAGATCTGATATATCACTTGGATATATATAAATTTAGAACAAATACAGTAACACCACATTCTGAAGGAACCTTTTCTTTTTAATTTCCAAGACAAAATTTTCATCACAGATCATCATAAAACAAAGCTGTCACTATATATCACACATATAAAATGATAGATTCCATAATCAATAACACTTCACATAAACCAATACAGTGAGCTGCTGGAGCCAGCAATGTTTGGCCTGTATAATGTACAGTATATTGTATAATCTAAGACAGGCATGGGTAACCTTTCCTCAGTCATGGGCCACATTGCGATTTAGGTATTTTTCTGCGGGCCAACCCACCAAAATTTATATTCTACTTAACCCAAATGAAATTTTGATATTTTCAGTTTACAATCAGTCTTTTCCCATTAATGAAACAAATCCATCATAATAATTTTTTAAGTAAAAAATGTTAATGTTTCTTGGCATTTAACAGAAGATGAGTGAAGCAGTCTGTGAATGGTTGATTTTTCCTACAGGTAACACTTTGTTCTTACCTGTGAGACTCATCCATCAGAATAATGTCAATGTTAATCTTGGCACATGAAGAACTACAATGAAACAACCTATAGGCACATCTATTTATTTTACAATATATATATATATATATATATATATATATATATATATATATATATATATATATATATATATATATATATATATATATATTATATATATATATATATATATATATATATATATATACACACACACACACACACACAGTATATGCCCATGGAGAGACCTAATTACACAAGAATAAATAGATTGAACAGAGCGCCAGGCATGAAGGATGAGGTACTATGGAGAGAGAGAATCTGTCAACAAGGAAGAGACCTTTGACCCGTGTGACCACCACCTGTGACCCCACTTAGACCTACCCAACCTTAGTTAATTCCCAAGTGACCCACTGCCACATAGCAGTTAATCCATCAAACAGATCGTGCCGAACGTGGCCCGCAAACTCACACAAGTTAAAATTTTTATATTGTTGACTATATGTACTTATTTCACTGTTACAATTTTGTAGTTATTTGCTCTTAGGTGATGAAATAGAAATGCATTGTGTGTGAAGATTATTCTTTTAATAAATATTGTTTTACTCTTCATAACAGGCTGCATCTACCTAAACCACGGGCCACATTAAATAAAATTTCTCAATTACTCCACGGCCCACACAAAGACATGGTTTGGCCTGCATGCGGTGGGTTGCCCATGCCTGCTCTAAGACATGTGTATATTGATCCCACTACATTTGACCCCATCATAGGTTGACACCACTACATGTTCACACCACTAAATAATTACACCACTATATGGTATGTTCACACCGCTAAATAATCACACCACTGTATGGTATGTTCACACCAGTACACCACTTCATGTTCACACCACTAAATAATCACACCACTATATGGTATGTTCACAGCAGTACACCACTACATGTTCACACCACTAAATAATCACACCACTATATGGTATGTTCACAGCAGTACACCACTACATGTTCACACCACTAAATAATCACACCACTATATGGTATGTTCACACCAGTACACCACTACATGTTCACACCGCAAAATAATCACACCACTATATGGTATGTTCACACCAGTACACCACTACATGTTCACACCGCTAAATGTTCACACCTCTACATAGCAAACCTGTACTCTGTGATACACTCCATTATACATACATGTATCTCATCTTGTCATTGACTGGCTGAGCTGATGCACTGGTTTGTACCTTTCATATGAATCACTATTAATCATATTTTGTTCAAATTTTTTTTAGTTCTTGACAGCTCTTCTCATATCAGTTTCCTTAAGTCTTAATCTATCACAAACAAAAAAGCCAAAAATACAATCATCCTTAACACACCATTCTTTTTCTTCAATGAATCAGCCAAGTTGAAATTTATGACAGTACTGCCACCAAAAACAAATTATGTGCTTCAGTTAATGATACGGTATTCTCAGAAACAAAACATACTGTATCACATACAGGGGGTCCCCGAATTATGAATGTCTTACCTACAAAAACCCGCCGATACGAACGAGGTTTCACAAGGTCAATTATTTTAAGAATCCGACATAGGTACAACTGGTTTCGTAGTATTAACATACGAGAACTAGTTTGTCCGGCGTAGCGGTGAAGTGGAGCAGCGAGTGGGGAGTAATGCATCACCCAGCCACACACCTTGAGGGAGCATCAGTACACGTTACCCTCACCTCAGTAACATGTGCGATCAAGTGCTAACTGTTGTTTTCTACTTATTATCTCTATTTTTCTACCCAAACACAAACCTGGTGCAGGTGATCATAGTGCATCCAAGAAAAGGAAGACAAATGGAAGTGAAAGTTGATGTAATTAAACATTCTAATAAATGCAAAACACCCTCAGTCATTGGTAAAGCGTTGGGCTTCAGTCAGAACGATCAGAACAATTTTGAAAGACAAACACAAAATTATATTGGTTCATACTTGACAATGCATCTGGCCATCCTGCATTTTAGATTATGTTCATTCAAACATTAAGTTTGATCCCAATAAAGCCTGTTACTCCTACAAATGGCCATCTCTACATACAAGCCAGCCTGAAGTTTCAATATAAGTGTTAAACTTAAATTTTTACTTTCCTATACTGTATTTGGTTATTCAATTTGTTCTTTTCTCTTACATTAAGTGATTCTAGATGTATAAAATAATTTAGGCTATGATATAGTGCACATAAGGTATGTGTTCCGACTTAAATACATTTCTGACGTCCTCAGGAACGAAACTCTTTTGTAACCCGGGTGCCACCTGTACTGAATACAACAGACTTCAAATATATATACCTATGTGTGTTGTGTGTGTGTGTACATGCTTGTGTGTGTGTGTACATGTGTGTGTGTGTGTGTGTGTGTGTGTGTGTGTGTGTGTGTGTGTGTGTGTGTGACCATGAGCATCATTGTTAGAGAAATTGATAAAGGGAATAAAGGAAAAAATTATTACTCAAAAACTCTTTATAAACTGGAGATTTAATTTGATTACTGATTACAGCAGAAGGAACCAGCCCAGAGGAGTGATAGGAAAACCTTGCTTCAACTTAAGTCTTAAATATGAATATGCAGTTGCTCAAAAAACTATTTATACGAAATTGAGTTGAAAAAATATGACAAAATGGATGAAGGATTTGGGGTAACCCTACTGAGACAACAGGAGTTGCAGTGTTCATTCTGAAATTCATTGAACCCTCTCAAGTAGGGAGTAGGTATAGTTTTTTGAGTGAGTGTACAATCAAAGACAAAAGTACTGTCGCGGTTTTGTCTGAAGATTAAATATAACTCGTGAAACATTATGAGAGCCCCCTACCACAAGGCAGAGCGCACTAAATGTTTAGCTCTTCAGTATATGTTTTCATCAAATTTCACGTCACGACTTTTGTCTTTCATTGTACATACAGACAGCTTCTTCTGTACACAATTCTACCCACTTATTTCAATGAACCTGAATATATGTGATACAATGAAGAAATGAGAGATACCTTCTTATTTTAGGGCAAGAAATAATACACATATTACTTAATATACATATAGTAAACCCCCGATAATGGTTTAACAGACACTGACCCATTTGGACTACTGTAGGGTCATATATTGCAGACTTGGGTCCATTTGTATCCAAATTATCACAAATTATCACACTGATTCGTTACAGAGCGCATTGGTCCTGTCCTGGAGTTATTCTTTACTAGAAAAAAAAATGTGAAAATCCATAATACAAGGCAGAAGGTACAAGACAAAACACTCAGGACTCGCCGACAGTGACCATGCTTCTTTACATTCTCTCCACCAATGAGAGTGACGTACCCCTATACAATCGCAGTCAATTAGCACTCTCCTCCTTGTGAAAATTTTGTTCCTGGTAGCATTCAATTTACTTGACACGCTTGCTCTTTATATGACTGATTTTCACATATTATAGTGAATATCTGTGATCCAAGTTATTTTTCAATAGAAAATAAAAATAAAAAAATATGAAAATCCATAATAGACTACATACAAGTCAGCTATTCACTTGCACCTGGCAGAGCAGCGGTCATCATTACGTTTAATTTTCCCCCCACCACTTACAACCAGCCTGTACCATACATGTTACTATCATGTAGAGCAAATTGTTCTTTCTGCTAGCCTGCAGGCTGACACTCCATTGCCCCAGTTAGAATGTGTTCTCACCCTGTAAACACCAGCTGGTGATGGTGAGTGTTGGTGGTGATGGTGAGTGTTGGTGGTGACGGTGAGTGTTGGTGGTGAGTGTTGGTGGTGACGGTGAGTGTTGGTGGGGTAAAGTGACTCGTGTGGTCTCTTCGGACTATGTTGGTACAGTGAGTTATGCTATAACGCGTGTTTTGACAACGCGAATTGGCTCTAACGCGATTTATGAGTAGAGGAATGATATTTGTATAACACGAACGCTTGTTTGCTGTAACGCGATTTTTGCTCACTATTTCTCCAATTTTGTGGTATTAACTGTGAATATGGTAAAGAGGAATATCTCCAAGAAGCGTTCTGGTGATCGCATTCCCGGTGATGATCGCAAAAGAAAGGCTATAACCCTTGAAGAGAAGCTCGATGTTATCAACCTCAAAATCACCCTTCTTCCACATCAAGTTATATTCGTATTTTTTCAAGGTAAAGTGTTACATTTACTGTATGATTTCATCATTAGATATGAATGTAACATTTATTTAGACTGTGCTATCCTTTGTGTTAGGCGAACTACTAAATTTTTTTCGATTTCGAGAAGTAATCTGCACCTAACCCTATTTTCTCCATTAGCCCTGTTATTTCTATTACGCGAATTTCTATAACACGATGTTTTACAAGAACACAACTATCGCGTTATAGCAGAACTGACTGTATATAATGGACCAAGTTGGTTATTAAATTCCAGATCCGAATATAACGGACTTACGGCTTCAACAGACTGGCCTTCCTCTCAATTAGTATGTTATATCAGGGGTTTACTATATGGTCATTTATGAATAAAACCAAAATATATTATAATTCTCTAAATAAAAATATATTTCATTGAAAGACCACTAGAAAAGCTATTATTATTATCAACTTTATACAATAAAATAAAACATGTTTGTTCTTTCTGTGAAAGAGAGAAACACTCTGACCTCATAAATAACTCTCATTTTTGTCACCTAACCCAATCTATGCTCTTTGGCTCCATAAATTTCTCCCTAAATTTATACAGTATTTTCTCAATTTAACGAACTAATTCAAGCCACCCATGTTCGTTAAATCAAAATTTCCGCTAAAACGAGCTTTCCGCCGCTCAGTCTGAGTCCTGCCGCCACTGTGTGTGTTGTTCACTGCTACTTCTTGGTCAACTAAGTATACACTGGAGCACCTTAGCTTTCATCTTTTATTCAAGACATCTTCAGAGGCAACTGAATTTACAGGGATGGAATGTCAGGTCACTCTTTCTTGGGTGGGGGATTAGTGGTTCTCATGACCTGAAGATGTCTTGAATAAATACAAAGCTTAAGTATTTTGGGGGAGTTTGTAATAAGTATAAATGAACAAAGTTGTATCCCTTCAATATTACGTTACATAAAATTTTACAATAAGGAGCGAGAAAGCAGTCACACGGATGGCTGGAGATGGTGGGAGGCGAACCTTTTGGAGGGGAGAGGGTCATGGGGTCACTTTTCTTCCCTCCTTCCTCACTCAACCATGGTTATTGTGATAGGGAGATGAATTTCATACCATAATGATCCTTAATAAATTCTCTACAAGATGTTTCCAATATGATATCCTTAAATGACAAGCCGAATAATACGGTAAAAATAAGTATTTTACTGTATATGAAGGGTACTGGTATTAAATAGCTCAAATTATTACAGTAACATATATTTACTAATTAATAAATAACAAATAAACAATATTTTGCCCAGTAAGAATGACAGACTCAAACAACCTCTTTAGAGGTGAGCAGTCAGTTTCTACTAGTCTCTGTACAGAACTAAAAGAATTTATCTGAAATAATCTGTATCATTTAATACCATAATATCCTGACCACTGGGGCTAGTTATATAGACTTTTCCCTGTGAAAAAGCCATAATTTTGAGCAACATATTACTGTAACCATTTTGTACTCAAAAGTACCAAGCTAAAGAACTAAAAAGTTATTTCATTTGCAAACTATGAGATGTTTACACTGAAATTAATTGCTATCTTGCAAGGATTCCAGTAATGCAAGTTATATTCTGCTAAGTTAAATCTGAGACATTTTACAAGAGAAAAACTTTAAGCCCAAAATCAGCTTCATTCCATTAATTGTTATCACCCAGTGCTATCTGCCTTCCCTGCTGGCTGGGAGGAGGTGGAAGGGGGGGGGGGTGTTGACAGCCAGGACGGGTGTGTAATTATCAGTTGATAAATGTCATCGGCTTGTGTTAGCAGAACATAATTTGCTTTGTTGGAATTCTTGTAAGATTGTGATTAATTTGAGTATACATTTCCCATACTTTGCACTAGACATAAAATTTTTAGTAATTAACCTCATACATTTGAGTACAGGTTTTGATAATTTATGCGTTGTGGCTGCAGTTGCAAGCTTTGTGGCACCACTAGTGTACAATGTGTCTCCATATGCCCTGGTTTATTTACTGATCAGTTGTCTAAGTGCAAAAATATCCAGATCGAGCCATCATGTATCAATTAATTCTAAAATAAAAATTATAAAGTCAAATGTTATAAGACAATAGTTTAGTAGTGCTGTTAATGTGTGTGCTGTGTAAGTGTCTTGGCATATCACCTCACTCTTACCACCCACACACCAACCATGTGCATTTACTGTATCATCTATCTGAGGTGTCTCCATAGGTGTGAGTGTATTAACGGAATTAATCTCCATTGAGTGAACTAGTTCCAAAATCGAGAGAAAATAAAAAAATAAAACCTTCCGCTAAATCGAGAATTTGTTATATCGGATTCTGTTAAATCGAGAGTATACTGTATAAGTCATATCTGGTCAAGAACAACATGACAAACTTGAAAATCTGCAAATACATAGAGAATTGTCTGGCTTGAAATACAGTACTGTACATATATTTATCACAAGTAAAATACACCAGAGAAATCAAATTAATACATTAAAGTTGAAATAGTTAATCAAGAAACATATTTACAAGACAAGTCATTAGTTGTTGACGTTGATGACTTGACTTTTAATTGACAATAACAAAAAACTTTTGAGCACTGCCTTTAGTTAAACAATATTAAATAAGAGCAAAAAGGATATTCCCAAGTAATTTATTGATGTAAATACAAACTGTAGTGACTGGCCTGACTAAAACTTCTTTGACATTAAACAACTAATGCATTATCATAAAAACCAAGTCAGCATAAGACAAAAGGCCGGCAAAGATGTTATGCCGCTTTTTCTAGGAAGAGGCTTGGGGGAAAGGAAGAGCAGGTGATACTGACTACAGTACCTACAGTTAATACTGTTTGTATGTAAACATCTAAAACAAAAACAAGGCACTCAGATCTTACAATAGATTAGTCTTCTTCCTCAAGGATCTGAAAAGAAAAACCAAACAGTTAGCCCTAAACATCACGAGTCTTTAATGTATGTTCATATTTATTTGCCATTTCTTCCTTAACCAGTTAAAATATACCTCTACCGAACTTATTTATAAATTTGTGCATTCAAAAGCTGTTTAGGAAACCAGATGTAAGGTAAAAAAAAAAAAGATAATAAGTAACGTCAACAATGAATGATAAACATTGAGCTACATGATCACAGATATGTGTGATCACCATGGCACAAAGCTTGGGACTGTAGTGCACCGGGTGGCCACCTGGTGAGCACGGGTAGACCACAGCTGACAAGTACAGCGAGAGATGCCTTTCATATTCTGCGTGTCAGCAATTTTGGGTTGACAGCCATCATTCATGTAATTTTGTTTTTTCATAAATAGAAAGGTGGTCTTAACACTTTACCTATCAATTAATACAAATTGAACACAAAAATAGCAGCTAGCATGGGAACAAACACCTTCCACAATGGCAGCAGAATATGATCTAAGCTATCCAAGCACCTAGGCCACCCACACACCTGTCCAGAAATTTAAATGTTTTGACTTCAGTTTCGTTCAGATTGTTGGACTAGATTAGAATTTTTACTGAACAGGACCAAAGGGGACAAAGTTCAGTAACCTGGAATATTCAGATACAGTACAGGGGGATCTCGTTATACGAGCATTCTTCATACGAGAATTCGATGATACGAGGTTAAGGAATTTGCATCTTATATTCACTATACGAGCGATATTGTTTGATGATACGAGAAGCGAGTACAGTGACCACTGGGGTTAGTTATACAACAGATTTTTTCATGAGAAAAAGACATAATTTTGAGCAACATTATTACTGTACGTACTCATTTTGTACTCAAATGTACTAGACTAAAGGACTAAAAAAATTTTCTCTTGTGCAAACTATGTGATGTTTATACACAAATTATTCGCTATCTTGCAAGGATTCCAGAAATACAAGTTATATTCTGCTAAGTTTAGTCAGTGACATTTTATAAGATACAAACTTAAAGCGTAAAACCACCTTCAACCTGGCTGGGAGGATGGGGGAGGGGGTGAGGTGTTGATAGCTGGGCGGCGAGATTACCGAGCGCGTATTTAACTGTCACATAGAGGGAGTTTAAGTTATTCACTTATAAAATGTCACTGAACTGACTTGGCACAATATAACTTACATTGTTAGAATTCTTGTAAGACAGTGATTAATTTGAGTACAAATATCCATAGTTTGCACTAGACATAAAAAAAATTGTATTTAACTTAGTACATTTGAGTCCAGTACAGGTTTGCCCTTAGGACAATTATTTCTTTTACCTTTTTCATACTATGTATTGAGGAAGGTGTGTGCCTGTAAATGAGTAAAAATAAATGAAGAAAGTTACATATATCTACCTAAAAATAAGAGTTGAAAACAACCATAACACCTCATAGCTTGGCCCAGTAGCTTGCCTTGTGGTTGCTGTGACGAGTCTAATTTGGCTACAGTGTTGCTCAGTTTACCCAGCCCAGTTGGCAGAACAAGCAGTGACATGGTCTGTGACGTCTCTCGTGATGTAGATGTGCAGAGACGTGTTTATGAGCCACTCAGCCAGGCTGCGCACCCTTCCCCTACCGTCCTCCCCCCAGCCACCCTCTCCTTTCCCGCAGTGTTTGAATCTGCTATCCCAGTTTGTCCGCTCGTACTGAATCACATTTATTTACTGTCATCGCTATACTCGGTGCTTGGGAACACATCCCTATTTAACCCATGTATTATTCCCTCCATTATACGAGCAGACTCCAAGGAACGAATCTACTCGTATCATCGAGATTTACTGTAGTTGGAATTTGGATAAAAGGAATTGCACTGTAAATCAGTAAAGTCTATGACATTGGATTTACTTTAAAAATGAAGCAGTTTTGTATACAGTGGTCTGACATGAATGGGGGAGGTTGTTGGGTGTTACTAGGTCAGTAACAGGAACCAAATTTTACCAGGGAGTGATGTGTAAGGGGTTTATGCTCCAGTTCAATGATTGTTGGTACAGTGTTGTTTAGTGTTGGGTTTGTTCTCTGTATATGAAGCAGGTGTTGCTCGTGGGTAGCTCATAGTGCGGGGTGTATGGCTGGTCACTTGGCTCCCTTCCTCTGACCAAGTTGGTCGCCTGCTACCTGTGAGTATTCCATATTTATTATCGTTTGTGGTTTATGGTGTTATTTGTGTCTTAAGAGTGCCATGTGTAATATGTTTGTTTATTATTATTTATTTACAACTTAATGTGTATAAATCTTGCAAATGTACAGTCTCCTTGACTTACGACAATATGGACATATGATGGCCATGGTCGTATAAAATATTTTTCACGTTACGTATTTTCGAGCCCCGACGTTAGTGATCGCGCTGTGTGCTGACAAAATTTTCGTTTGTAATTCCCTTTAAAATGGCTGGCAAACGTAAAAGTGAGAGTTCTCGTGGTGCTGAGAAGAAAAAGAGACACCCATTTTAGAATTTCTATGTATTATTTTCGCCTTTTCGGGACGGAACCTCGTCGTTAGTCGAGGAGAGACTGTAATGGCATGTTGACCGTTACTCCCAAATTAATAGGACAATATTGTAAAAGTACTGTAGTGTTGCAGCTCTTGTTATTCATGGTCACGTTGGTGTGAGCAGCTGCACTCCTAGCCCTGTATGTCAGCACGCCAGCTAAGACTCTGTCAACCCTAGCCTCTGTGCTGTTCCTCCCGGGTCCATTCTCAAGTACCTGTACCTGTGCCGGTTAGGAGGATATTTGCTCTCCGGTGCCATTTTTGTGGGGAAGACCCTTATTTACCACCTGTTCCATGTTGATATATTTGACCCCACGCTTCATGTCTAATGTCTACACTCCCGACATCTCTTCTGACTGACAGTCCGGCACTCCCATAACTACATACTGTACAGTATGTTCATGTGTAAATACTTGTAAATAGAAATATCTTGTTACAAATATCCTTCAGTGTGTTCAATATCTTTGGTGAAAGTGAGTGTTCCATCTGACAGTAATCTTGAAAAGAACCAGAGGGCGTTAACATTTAAACCCTCGACATGATAAATATTAATTCTGGTGCCTTAGATACTCTGTGGGGCAATGTATAGTAACTTATACCCAAAATATTGGGGTGCTACAGCACCCTCCCTTCCCACGTCCGCATCCCTGTACTGGGTGGACTGAGAGGGGGAGGACGGTGCAGCACACATGAAAGAACTGCTGACTAATCTCGGAGTGTGTGAGGGAGATGCACATCTGCCAACAGTCAGCCCAGAAAATCCCAACAGCCTCGGGGATAGCTGAATTTCAATCACGAATCTTGAATAAAGGGTCACTAATAATTTTTCCTGAATAAGTGAATTTACAAATATTGGGAGATAAGTGTACAGTAAATCAAAAGGCAGAAGCAAACTTCCAATGCCCTGTACCTACCTCCCCAGCATTCATAACCCATACCACCTACCTTTCTTATGTTACTTAACAATTGTTCTGCTTCAAACAATATTTTGTAAACAATCTAGATAAAAAAAATGCAGGTAAAACCATTAAGGAAAAGCCAAATGAAAGTTTAACACTACCGCCATTTGCAAAGACACCGGCTGCTTGACCTCATCACTTGTCACTGCAATGCAGCCCAGCTGGAACGCTGCCTCTTCCGACTCCCTAGCAATGCCACCTCACCACAATCTTTCCCCTCCCCCACTCAGCTTGTTAAATCTCCTAAGTTGGCAATAAAAAATATATTAATGGTTGCCCCTCATGTATGAGGATGACCGGACCTAGGCATGAATTTGTTTAAAGTGTAGAAGCTGTCGCCTACACAACAACCACACCCTAAGTTAACGAGTTGCACGACCCCAATGTCAAGGAATAGTCTGAGAAGATCGGACAACTCACCAACTGCACTGGCTAACCATTACACAGGAACATGATCCACAAATCGACTAACATCCGGGTCCCAAATAACTGCCGGGCAAATAGAGGAAAATGGCATAAAATCTAAACATGGACCAACAACCAGGTAATCCAAGAGAATATTTCTGTACCAAGTATATACATCCTAACAAAAGTAAGCTCAGGAGACATTATTTGGGGTGCAAGTAAGTGTAATTATGTACAGTAAAACTGTATACTAATAATACAGTAGATTATTACAGGTTTATTGTGCAGTCAATCAGAAAATGTATAACTTTTACACTGAATTTCTCTGGGAAAATATAGATTCAAAAACAATGACATTGAAGATGAAACAATGACTAATTTTCAGGTTTTGAATCATCTCCATTATTTTTGTGAATGATTTACAGAGCATAATGCATTCATGTACTCAAATAATCATTGAAATATTTGGATGCATATTAACACTAGAAAATGTTGTATACATAGGCAACAATTTAATGAAAAACCAAACAGTAATGTACTAACCAGATACAGTTATGTGGACAGTGTGTTAGGCGATGCTGCAGAAATGTAAGAGATTAGTAGATGGAGCTTCTCCCCTGTGAATCAACATTATCATCACATTTCTAGGCACTGGAGTAGGTCTTGGTCTGAAGGAGGAGTCCAGTGTTGATTGACGTATTCTTCTCAATCTACAGCTCCTTGCAGCAGCTGCTGGCATCCTCAATCAATCTCTCTACTTTGAGGATGTGGTCATGCCTGGAGCTATTTTCGGTTAAGATATCCAGTCAGTCCATGGTTAAAACTACGTAAGACTTTAGACACCTGTTGTGTAGTCAGCTAATGTGGGGTTGTTGGACCTTCTACTCTCTCCTCCTCTCTTGCCACCATTATTAAAACTTCATTGCCGAGTTCCCTTCCATGTGACTCGAGCAACTCAACAACGTCAGCTTTTTCGATTTCCTCACAGCCAACAACATTCACCAAAGGTACACTCTCTTGCTGAATGATTTGCAGATTGTCAGTCAAATGTAATTTGGCTAGATATTCTTCCAAACACCATTCATAGTCGACT